CGCGTTCGTCCCGTTGCCCTTGCGTGGCGCTGCCAGACAATTCTAGAATTTCCAGAAAGTGCGATCGTACTTTCGAGAGTATATGAGGCAATGTATGCAATTAGATAGGCGCACTTGAACGGGTGCAACGGTTTCACCGTGGAGTGCGCTTGTCTGTGACGCCGCCACGTTTTTGAACGCAAAGATCGGTAAACTTTAATGTCGAGAGCTGTCTTTTAGAAAGGGTACAACAAAACCTCTGGCTCCTAGTTATTGCTTGTTCAAAAATAGGGATATTCGGCTATTATTCGCCGTGGTACGTATCGATATACGCCTCCAAGTTGGCCTTCTTGACGACTAGAGACCCTTCGTTTTGGGCGGGCGAAAACGCAATCAGTCGAAAGTGCTTGCGAAGCATCGTGATAATCTCGGGCTTGAGCACTGGCTTCATGTACTCGCGACTGCCTCGGCCCTTGCCCGTGATGATTTTGAGGTCTTGGAGCTCTATGGTGCAACCATTTCAATCTCAGCAACACATTCTGCGTCGCTGACCTGTCTTGAGAACGCTCTTGGGCTGGTCCGCAATCGCATGCAACGCGAATTCGACGGCAGCCTTGGCTGAGCCGCGCGAAAGCTATGCAAGTTCATCGCGTACAGACCCTTGCGCCACTCGCCAAGCATGTTTTCGTCCATCGCGCGATCAAACACGGCGTGGCTCGCGTCGCGTTCTCTCAGCTCTTCGAGCGCGTCAATGACCGTGTGCACAAAGTCGGCCTTCTCCAGCGGCGTCGTCTCCAGCGTACTTATGATCCCAGGGATGAGCTTGCGCTGCTTGGGCGACGTCTTGATCGCGCGCAGCACGAGAGCCAGCGTCAGAATCGAGGGCGCGATGCCCTGGGCGAGCATGTCCTTGTAGAGCTTGAAGATCACAAACGACTTGTCCGTGTTGAGGAACCCGAGCATGCACGTGGTATACGGGAACGCGTCCGGCGCCAAGGGTCCTTCCATCTCCTTGAGTCGCGTGAGGCAGTAGTCCATGTCCCCCGAGAGCATCTTGGCGCGAATGAGCGCGTTGTAAAAGTTGACGTCGGTGCTCGTTTGCATCCAGTCGCGTGGCTTGGTGGCTGCAATCTATCAGCATATCTCCATGTCCAAATGGTCGACAAGGGAGAATCGTACCTGGTCGAGGACACGCTCGACGGCCTCGTGTTCGCCGAGGGCGCTCAGTGTCTTGAAGAGCACTGTGTACGTCGCAACATCGAGAACGTCGCCGCGGAGACGCAGCACTTGGTTGGTTACGTCCACGAGCTTTTCGTTCTGGCGGCCGCTGGCGAGCGCCAAGAAGAGCATGCGGTAGCCTCGGAGCGAGATCGGAAGGCCAAAGCCCTGCATGTGGTGGAGTACCGTGAGCGTGAGCTTCCAGTCGTTCTTGTTCTTGAGTGCTTGGATGATGGGCTTGTACACGAAGCCGTTCAGGGCGCGACGCGTGGCCTCTTCGTCGGAGGTCGCCGCAAGCGCCTCCGTGGCCTGCGTGTGCAACGTCTGCAGCGCATCGTGGCCCTTGCCGTTCTCAATGAGCGCGATGCACATGAGCGCCTTGGACTCGAGCGTCGCATTTGCATCGGCTGTGCTACTGGGCGTATCCGCGTCTGGAGGCGCGGCCGCGTTGAGCTCCTTGAGCCCAATCTGCTGCATCGTGTGCAGTACTTTCTTGGCTTCGCGATGGCGGCCTTGGGCGGCGCAGACGCGCAGCACCAGATTGGCGTGGTATGGCTCGACGGCCTGCGGGAAGGTCGAGACAAAGTGCTGGAACGTGCCGAGCGCCGTCTTCCAGTCGCCGTCCTTAGACGCATGCTTGAGCTTCTCGACGATAATCTTGGTCGGCGCGTCTACGCTGCTGCTGCAGAAGCGGCCGAGCGCATGGCGCTTCCACTAAATTGCATGGCATGAGCTGCGAGGACGAGGTCATGCGGCCGCGCCGTACCAGGCTGTTCCGCGCGAGCGTTGCCAGCATCGCCAATCGATCTTTTGCGCTCGCGATGTTGCAAAATAGTGTATATATGCCCAACACACGTAAATAGCGTACACACCTTGATAGTCGATCGACCATATATATTTTTTGTAAGAGGTATGTGTTTGATTGGCCTATTGCGTCTACTGCCGGGGATATCACCATCGTCGACGTCTTCATGCTGCGACGCGTAGTCTCGACCGCGGCCCGGCACCGGAGCCTCGCCAGCGCGCTGCGCCTCCATGGTGGCGCCGTCGCCCACGCCCGCGCGTCCTTGGCCTCTCTGCATTTGCGCCCGTTGCACACGAGCCTGCCGCTACTGCGCAGCGATAGTGCTGTCGAAGACATGTACCAGAAGAAGACGCCGCTCGAGCACGTCCTGCTACGGCCGGGTATGTACATCGGGTCCGTTGAAAGTACGAAGGAGACCATGTGGATCTGGAGCGACTCGGAGCGCCGCATGGTCCAGCGGTCGCTCGAGTTTGTGCCTGCCCTGTACAAGATCTTTGACGAAATCCTTGTCAACGCCGTTGACAACAAGGTCCGCGACAGCGCCATGTCGCGCCTGGAAGTGAGCGTGCATCCTGGCTCGGCGGCCAACGGTCACCAGGCGACGATCTCGGTCTTCAACGACGGCAAGGGCATTCCGATCCAGTTCCACAAGCAAGAGAACGTCTACGTGCCCGAGCTCGTCTTGGGCCACCTCTTGACCGGCTCCAACTTTGACGATGCGTCTGCGCGCCTCACGGGCGGCCGCCACGGCTACGGCGCGAAGCTCACCAACATCTTTAGCTCCGAGTTTGTCGTCGAGACGGGCGACGCCAAGAGCGGCCAGCGCTACACACAGACGTGGCGCAACAACATGCGCGAGCGTGGTGAGCCGATCATTGCGCCGTACGACGGCGAAGACTTTACGCGCATCACGTTTACGCCGGACCTCGCCAAGTTTGAAATGGCCAAGCTCACGAGCAGCATGACGCGCGTGCTCCGGAAGCGCGTCTTCGACGTCGCAGGCTGCCTCCCCAACGTCACGGTCAAGTGGAACGACGACGAGGTGCCTTTGGTTGGCTTTGAGTCGTACGTGCAAGCGTTTGAAGGCGCGACGACCAAAGAGGCCGAACTCGCCTTGTACAGCCGTGCCAACATGCGCTGGGAGATTGGCGTCCTCCCGTCTGACGTCGGCTTTGTCCAAGTGAGCTTTGTGAACGGCATGACAACGCATCGCGGCGGCACGCACATCAACTACATCCTCGAGCAGCTCTGCAAGCGCATCGCCGACCACATCAACAGCAAGCAGAAAGACATGACGGTGACCGCAACGCAGATCAAGCCGCACATTGCACTTTTTGTGAACGCCCTCATTGAGAATCCGACGTTCGACTCGCAAATGAAGGAGAATCTGACGTCGCGCCCGTCGACGTATGGCTCGACGTGCGTCCTCTCGGAGCGCTTCGTCAAGAGCGTCCTCAACAACTCGGGCATTGTCGAGCGCGTGATCGCGGCCATGAAGACCAAGCAGCGCTCGGCGCTCAATAAGAAGGTCGCCAAGAAGACGATCCTTGTCCCGAAGCTCGAAGACGCCAACTGGGCGGGCAGTCCGCGCGCGTCCGAGTGCACGCTCATTCTGACCGAAGGCGACTCGGCAAAGGCGCTCGCAGTCGCCGGTCTCTCGGTCGTCGGTCGAGATACGTACGGTGCTTTCCGCTGCGTGGCAAGTTTCTAAACGTGCGCGATGCGTCCGACACGCAGCTGAGCAAGAACGCCGAGTTCAGCCACCTCTGCACGATTCTCGGGCTCAAGCTCGGCTCCAAGTACGCGACGCCCGAAGAGAAGGCGACTCTGCGGTACGACTCCATCTGCTCATAGTACATGTGTACTCAACGTGTCTTGCAGCTACGGCCGCGTGCTCATCATGACGGATCAGGACCACGACGGGTCGCACATCAAGGGCTTGCTCTTGAACCTCTTCCACACGTTTTGGCCGCAACTGCTCCAAGACAACTTTGTGAGCACGTTCTTGACGCCGCTTATGAAAGCGCAGACGAAAAAGACGATCTTGCCCTTCTTCTCCGTGCCCGAGTACGAGCATTGGAAGGCGTCGAATCCCGACGTGTCGCACTCTGTCAAGTACTACAAGGGTCTCGGCACGAGCACAAGCGCGGAAGGCAAGGAGTACTTTGAAGAGCTTGACGAGCACACGGTCGACTTTCGGTGGACGTCCGAGGACGACGGGGACGCCATCGCGATGGTCTTTAGCAAGGACCGCGTCGCGGAGCGCAAGGCGTGGCTGTCGAATATCGCGCCGTCGACGCTCCACGAGCGCACACCTACCATGCGCCTCCACGATTTCGTGCACTCGGAGCTCATCCAGTTCTCGCATGCGGACAACGCGCGGTCGATCCCAAGTGCGATCGACGGCCTGAAACCCTCCCAGCGCAAGGTGCTCTACGCGTGCTTCAAGCGCAAGCTCACAAAAGAAGTCAAAGTCGCGCAGCTCGCGGGCTACTGCGCCGAGCACACTGCGTACCACCACGGCGAAGCGTCTTTGCACAGCACGATCGTCAACATGGCGCAGGACTATGTCGGCGCCAACAACATTCCGCTCTTGTACCCGTCCGGTCAGTTTGGCACGCGCCTCCAGGGCGGCAAGGACGCCGCGTCGCCGCGCTATATTTTCACGTATTTGCACAAGTACACGCGGCTGCTCTTTCCGGAAGCCGACGAGCCGCTCTTGGAGTACGTCATTGACGACGGCGACGCGGTCGAGCCGACGTACTATGTGCCGATTCTACCGCTCCTCCTCGTGAATGGCAGCGAAGGCATCGGCACTGGTTGGTCCACGAGCATTCCGAGCCACCACCCGATCCAGCTCATTGACCGGCTCCTCGCGCGCATTGACGGCGACGCGTCATGCGATGCGCTCGCGCCGTGGGTCAAGGGGTTCCAGGGCACGATTGCCCCGAATGGCCTCAACTACATTTCAACGGGCGACATTGAAATTCTGAAAGCGACGCCCCGCACGGTGGCCGTCCGCGTCTCCGAGTTGCCTGTCGGCAAGTGGGTCGAGGACTACAAGAACTTTCTGCACAACCTCATTGCGACCAAGAAGGTGCGCGCGTTCACCGAGCACCACACGGACAAGACCGTGTGCTTTGAGCTCGTGGTACGACAACGATGCAGCTCCTCCTTTGTCCGACGGGAGCGTTTGGTAGATTGAAAAAGACGGCGCCGATGCGATGGACGACGCGACGCTGCGCAAGCTGCTCAAGCTCGAGTCCAACATCAACACCACCAACATGCACGCGTTCAACGCCAACGGCAAGCTCGTCAAGTTCGATTCGAGCGCCGAGATCCTCGACGCCTTCTTTGACGTGCGCCTCGACCTCTACGCGCGCCGGAAGACGTACTATGAAGACCGTCTTGGCCGCGAGTGCGCCAAGCTCGAGAACCGCGTTCGGTTCCTCCAGGAAATGGCCTCGGATGTCAGTCCGCTCCGGTCGCTCTGGACGTCCCGCCCTTCCAAGGCCGACGCGGTAGGCACAACGATGTCGATTGGATTCTTCAAGTGACGACATGCATGTTGCTATAGATGGCGGCGCTTCGGGCTGCTGGGTTTGCGCCGGCGAGCGCGTTTGAAGTGGATGGTGGTAACTCCAACGAGAAGGACGCGTACGACTACCTCCTCCAGACGTCGTTCCTCCAGTGCACGCTCGAGCACGCGGAGAAGCTCACGCGCGAGTTTGGCGCCAAGCAAGCGACCTTGGAGCAGCTGCGCGAGACGGCACCGAAAGCGCTCTGGAAAACAGAGCTTCTTGCGCTCCGTGAAGCGCTGCTCGAGGACGCCGAGTACCACAATGCGATCGAGGCGTGAGCAAGACATACGACGTAATACGGCGAGAATGGCTTGTCATTTGTGATTCTGCGGCTTCGCGAACACTTAAGCTTCCGCAAGCCAAGGGACGTGAGGACGCAGTCAATAGCCTGTTCGACGAAGCGTGTCTTCGACTACACAAAACCACAGTTCTGTCCCATCTAGCTATTAGTTGCGGACCTAGCTTTCCAAAGTCCTTTCCTCATCCGTGCGAGGTTAAAGGGCTCCTTGGAAGAAATGCAAGGCCGTTGAAACGCTGGACCTTGCCAAAGCGACGCCCTCTCGAGGCGCGGGAGGTGTCGAGAACCAAGAGTATACAAGCTAGTCTCAGCTCATGACGTCAGTCCGACGAGGTGAGCATCTCGCGAACCTCCGATCTTTATCCGGAGGCGTCCGGATAAAAGCTGGCCAGGAATAGAGCCACGCTTGCAGTGTGCAATTCGAACCGCGCTGCCGCCATGGGTCCGTCCGTCGGCCACGTCATCGCGTCTACCTCGGTCTTCGCTCCATGCAGCCTCTCGGCGCTCGCCTTGGCACCGCTGCAGGCCTGCGGCGCGGAGCGGTGCCTCAAGCACGACACGAACGTCTACTGTCGTGGCGGGCGCCTGGCCGACCTCAAGGCCTTTAGCCTCCACGAGCCCGGCGACGCCGAGTACTCGGAGTACATTGCCGCGCAGCTGCGGCCGACGACGTTGACGAACCTCAACAAGAAGGTCGTGTACCTCATCGACGTGCACCTCGGCAAAGTCCACTGGCTCGTCCACACACGCTACTCGGCGCTCCGAAAGCTGCGCTGCACGCTCTTCAAGCACCTCTCCAAGCGCGCCGACGCGTGCCGCATCTGCTACGCGTCTTTAAAGGGTCTGCAGGCGACGGTGTTTCCGCCCAAGGCACGACTCTTTGCGGCGTCGATCGACATGGCCATGCGACAGCTCCAGCTCGCGACCTACGTGCAAACGCTCGTGCGCATCCTGCAAGTACTTCGACAGCACTCGATCCTCATGCAGTCCCGCGTCGGGTGCGACGTGACACCCATGCTGCGCCTCCTCGAAGAATTCGTGGGCCTCGACTTTAGTCGGTACACGAGCTTCCTCGCGGACCGCGGCGTGCTCCACCCTCAAGAGACGGTCCACTGCCGCTAACACGAAGCCTTCTAAGTATCAACACGACGCGTCTTATTTAGCCTTGTTGGCCACGGGCCGCGTCGTGACGAACGATGCGTCACGCTCAAAGAGCTGCTGCAGCATCACCACATCATCGACGCTGCCGTAAAAGCCGTGGTAAACGAGCTTCTCAAAGAGATCGCGGTGCACAACGCGAAGCGCGGGCACCGAGTGCACGTCAAACGGCTTCTTGAACTCGTTGTTCGGGTCCTTCCACGCTGTGTAGTCGGCCGAGACTTCGACCTTGACCACGACTGCGTTGGACGCGGCAAACTTGTGGTACGCGAACTCGAACGCAGTCTCGCGGAACCGACAGTACGGGCACCAGGGCCGGTCGTTCGTCGGCAGCCGCCCCGACACAAAGAGCAGGTAGAGCGGAAAGTCGTCTTCAAAGTCGCGAAGGAATTTCTTGAGCGGCGCATACTCACTGTAGATGCGAATGTCCTTCTTGGTGACGCCCGGTGCGCTCTCCCCGTGGAAGACGTAATCGAGGAGCTCCGGGTTCTTCATGGCGGCTTGGTACAGACCTGCGGTCGTCTTGCCGTGGCCATTCGGCAGCCGCGTGTACTGGAAGAGCGTCGGAAGTTCCAATAAGCGCAGATCGTCGTCAAAGCGGTACATGGACTGAAACTCAGAGTCGCTTTGCACGACGACGGTGAGAAGGCGAGCGGAAGGCGGCGCGCGGGCAAACGCAGCTGCCACAGTTGCCTCGGCGTCGTTGCAGCCGCCTTGCCATGTGGCGTTGGTTGCAGGGTCGTGCGCGCAGGTGAAGAAGACGAAGAGCGGGTCGGACGAGTTGTACGTCTTGAGAAATCGCTTGGAATCTTTGAACGAGGCGACAGTCACTTGACGCGACGCAGAGTCGTTGACACGGCTGTGGAGCGCGAGCCGCTCCGGTGTCAGCGTCGTTGCGTCGTTAGAGCTGTCGACCACGACGGGGGCGGCAACATGCACGGGCTCGGAGTTGACGGGAACAACTTCGGTTGTCACGCCAGACGCTTTCTTGATCGGCAGCGCATCCACGTCCGTGTTACCATGGACCACTGGCGCCGGGATCGCGTTGACAGGCGATGTCGTCGCCGCAGCAGACGGAGCGTCAGTGATAGGAGCCAACGGAGTAGTCGGTGCAGACGTGGTTGTTGGCAAAGATGTCGTTGCAGCCGCCGTTGTCGTTGGTGCCGTTGTTGGAGGCGCCGTCGTTGGTGTCGGGACTGCGGTCGTCGGCTGCATCGTCACGCGGGGCTCGGGCGTCGCCGGCGCGGCGGTGGGTACGTGGTCAAGGCTCTCATGCTGCACGAGCGGCGCGGGTGTGATGTCTTGCTTGCGCAGCGACGCCCGGGCGTCGGCCGATGTCGTGACCGAGGCGACGCTTGACGAGAGGGTCATCATCGAGAAGAGCAGGACGCACACAATGCATCCAAGAAAGACGTTCATGACGCTCATCTTCATGCTGCAGACGACGTCGTTCCGGCCGCGGTGGTGGCCGCGCGGGGCCATGCTTCCTGCTCTGCTGGCGTCGAACACGTAATGGCAGAGCAGAGCGGCAACCCAATCAGCATGCGGCTCTCGTATCCGGAATAGCTGCACATCGTATCCGGATGCCAATCACACCAGGCCTGCCAGAAATCAGTTTAAGACCAACTTGAAGTGCTTGGTCGATTCTCCAAGAGAAGCCATGGATTTTGTTATTCTTAATTATGAACCGCGTTTGGTCGAACTGCACAAGTCCAAGCCGGTTGGCCGCTGACGACGATAAAGTGCGTGCGAAATTCACGTTAGGCGGTTGGCGCTTGGTTCTGCTCGAAGAACGCGCGGAGCCGGTCCCGATCTTCGAAGAACTCGACGTATTCGTTGAGCTGCGGCAGGCCCGCGCCGCTCAACGAGAGGCGCGTGAGCATCGGGAGGCCCGTTAGCTTCACTGCCGACTGCGTCCGGAACGGGTTGGCCACATCGTGCCACTGGTCGATTGTCTTGGCAACGACAATGCGCAAGAGCGTTGCGTTCGGTGGCGCGTACGCCCGGTAGTAGCCAAGGATCGGGACGTCGGCGCGATCGCAATGCGGACACCAGAGCCGCCCCGTGCTCTCGTACCGCCCCGAGACAAAGTAGAGAAAGAGTGGCGCACCATCGAACGCATTCAGCGCAGCATTCATCTCGTCGATCGTCGTCACGTCAACGACGCGAGGCACGGGTACGGCAGTAGGCGGCGTCGCAAAGACTCCCGCGAGAAGCAGCGGGTCTGAGACAAACGCCTCGGCCAGCAACAGCGTCGTCACCATGCGGCCATTGTACCGCAGCAGCGTCGGGAGCTCGCGAATCTCAAGCTGCGCGTCGGGCCGCAGCGTAAACTTGCTCGTCTCCCACCCCTCTTCCGTCACTTGCACCCACAAGAGGCGTGCGGACGGCGGCGCATTGGCAAAGGCGGTTGCAACAGGCTGACGCGCGACGTCACAGAGCTCGCACCAATCGGGCTCGGAGCCGTTCCGGAGGCTCGTCACGAGGACGTAGAGCGGACCGTCGTTGAGGCGAACCGTGTTCAAGTACGTTTCGGCCGCGTTGAGGCCATCGACGCGAACGATGTTGTGCGAGGCATCGCGCACACGCTTGAGAAACACAGCGTGGGCGATGCGCGGCGGCCGCGAGAGGCTTCCAGCGAGCCGCCCCACAAACACGAGGCTCACGACCAAGAGCCCGAGAAGAGAGAACACGAGCAACTGCACGCACGCCCGTCGAGGCTTCATGTTTGCTTTTGCGAACGTCGTTGCATTGCGCGCCACGTTCCAACTTCGAAGCTTTCGCGCGTTTTTTCGACGGCTGGTGGCAAAGACACCCGCCGCATCGAACGAAAGTGATGAGCTCGCTTTCGAGATCCGAGATCCGAGTGCGGTACCGAGCACTACGCTCGGGAGGTAGGATTTACGCTACTGGTGTCTACTACATCTCTGGTTGTGGCTCCTGGAAGAACTGGACGAGATGCGTTCGGTCTTCGAAGAATTGCGTGTACTCCTTGAGCGGCGCGGCGTTCGGCATGACACGGACAAGCATCGGTAGACCGCTGATTTTGATGCGCGTCTGCGCGCGAAACGGGCTCGACGGGTCCTGCCACTCGTCATACGTCGACGCGGTCGTGACCGTGACCAAGGCGGCGTCTTTGGCTGCGTAGTGCTCGAAGTAGTAGACGACAGGAAGGAGCGCCGAGTCGCAAAAGGGGCACCAGAGGCGCTCAGTGTCCGAGTCGTGACCCGAGACGAAGAAGAGATAAAGCGGGTACGACCCGTCATAGGCGTCTACCATGGCGTTCAGTGCGTCGACTGTCGCGACCTCGCGCTTGTCGCGGGCTCCGATGGGCACGCGAGGCTCTGGGACGCGAAAGAGATACTCGAGCAGCTCGGGGTCCGTAGCGAACTTCTCCAGCACGAGGTTCGTCGTCTTGAGATGGCCTTTGTACTCGAGCAGCGCGGGGATGTGATTGATACGCAAGAGGCTATGGGTGCGGAAGGGATTCGAGACGTCGCGCCACTCGGGCGACGTGCCGACGCTGACCTCGAGCAGGCGAGCGGCCGGCGGCGCCTTTGCAAACGCGGCGGCCACGGGCACTTTGACGTTGCGGCAGTCGCCGCACCAGTAGTCGCCACCGCGCATGCCACTCATGACCAAAATGTACACAGGGCCGGCGTCAAGGTCGACGTCCGAGAGATAGGCAATGGCTTCGTCAAACGAGGCGGCGTGGACTCGCTGGCTCGCGAGAGGCGGCGCTTGTCCGAGCCGCAGTTCCTGACGCCCGGGGCCGGCGTCCGAGGTCGTGGCCGCGTACATCCGCACCATGTACATGAGCGAGCATGTTACGAGAACCGCAAGAGAGACGCGGAAGAGAGTGAGGAGCGTCACCCGCTGCGACGGCTTGACCCGCATCTCGCCGCTCGTGTCCCAAGGATCTGGGAAACTGGGATCCAGCGCAGTCAGAAAGTGGAGGCCCCCCCACACCGGGACTGAAAATGACGTTACCGTTTTATGTCCATGAACACTATTCAATACCCTGCAATTCTCATTTCAGCGATTTAGAAGGTACGAGTCCACCTTTACTGCTCGCGACTCTGCCGCATTATTGGAGAAGGGTACTTGCATAAAGTGGCTACGATAAGAGCGAAGATAGGTTGTGCACTGTCGCTCGTGCTTGGGTCCTGCCAAACCAAATACTGAAATAGTGTAAGCCGAGGGGTCCTACAGAGTAGGACCAGCAACATAAACTAGTAGGTCCCCTACGAGGCCCGGCTGTGTTCCGGCGAAATCCGACAGCAGCAAACGTCGTCGACCAAGCATCGCAACTTGTCTCCGCGTACACCGACGTGATGAACAGCACGAGCGACGATTACCTCCGCGAGGTCGCGCAGGCGCTGCGGCGTGGCGTCGAGATCAAGAACCGGCGCGTGAACCTACGCACGTACGACCTCTGCTTCGTCGGGTCCGAGGCCGTGACGTGGCTCGTTGAGCATGGGTACGCGCCATCGCGCGAGGCCGCCGTCGAGCTCGGCCGCAACCTCGTCTGCGGCGGCCTCATGAACCACGTGGCGGATAGCGAGCATTTCCAGGACAAGACGCTCTTTTACCGCTTCTTTGAAGACGAGGTCGGCGGGCCGCGCGAGCCGCCGCTCTCGCTTGCGCGGTCGTTTGCGTCCGGCTCGCAGCGCGCCAAGAGCATCGAGAAGGCCGTGCGCAACCACATTGGCAAGCTCACGGGCCGTCCGCACTCGACAGTGACAGAACAGCCCGTGCGCACGCTGCGTCTCAAGAAGAACGGGTTTTGCCCGATCCGGTCGCTGCTGACCGTCGCGCCCAGCACGACGTTTGGCTTTAGCGACGTGTGCTCGTTCTACTTTCCGCCGCACACGGTGCACAACTCGATCGCGCTCACTGTGCCCATCGTGGAGCAGATGAAGGAGGCGTTCTCGACGCTGGACATGCGCGCGCGGGAGAACGCAGTCTTTGGCCTCCGCAAGCAAGTGCTCAAAGCCGCCGACTCGAGCGATAAGAACTGGATGTACATCAAGAACGTCACGGGCCACCACGGCAACGACGTCCGCGTCTTTCATCGCAACGCTGTCGGCGGCTTCCAGACGTTTTTGACGGTCGGCGCGATCCACGTCCCTCCGGCCACGTTTGCCAAGCATTTTTTGGACCACCAAGAACGCCGCAAGATGGAGGCGTTCTACGAAGCCGGCTTTACCGTCGAGGACCTCCTCATGGCCCACACGCACGAGATGAAGCTCGAGAAGAACATCCACCAGCCTTTCTCGAGCGCCGTTGCGCCGTGGGTCGACGACGACCGCATCCAGCTCTCCATGTCGGACGACATGGGCTGCGTCGCGTCGCACGCCATGACTGCCGAGCGATTCCCTGCCAATAGCAGCGGCGCGTCATCGGAGGAGCATCTCATTCGCGGCGGCGCGCAGCGCATCTTGTACCGGACGATGACGAGCGTCTCGCGGGTCGTGACGCAGCGCGACTTTGTGACGTTCCAGGACTGCTTTGCGATGGAGAACGGCGGCCACGTGGTCTACGAGATCTCGGTGCACCACAAGGACATTCCGCCGTCGCTGCCGGTGCATCTATCCTTCTTTTACGTTACCAGAGGCGTTACATTGATCGTGTAGAACTATACCCGCGGTGAGATTTTGTGCCTCGCGCACATTGCCGAGCCGATTCCGGGGAACCCGTCCGCGTGCATGCTCACGGTCGTGACACAAGTCGGCTTCAAGGGCAAGATGCCGGCGTTCGTGTCGCAGATGATTTTCGACAAGCTCATCACGCGCAGCTTCGAGTCCGAGGTCAACGGCTTACCAAAGACAAAGATTATGTCTTACGCTTTCTCGTAGATGTGCACCAAGGTGCTCGACTGCACGGACGTGGTCGACGGCGCGCTTAAGGACATCCCGTATGACTTTACGAATCCATCCCACGCAGATGATGACGACGACGAGTCACGCGCCGGCCTCGTTGACTTTGAAGTGCTCGCCGTGCTCGGCCGAGGGTGCGCCCAACCGAATGGAATTGCTATGCTAACCGGTTTGGTAGTGGCTTTGGCAAAGTCATGCAAGTTCGGCACCGCAAGACGCGCAAGGTCCATGCGATGAAAATCCTCAAGAAAGAAAACCTCGTCCACGACATTCAAGTACAGCAGCGCGCTCACCGTATCCAACTTGGAACTGATCCGCTGATACATAGATCGAGCGCACGCGCACGGAGCGCAGCATCCTCGCGGCCGTCGAGCATCCGTTCATCGTCGGTCTCTCGTACGCCTTCCAGGTACCGCCCATCTGTCATCTGTCAAGGTATCAAGCAGTGGATACGGTGATGTAGACGTCCAAAAAGCTCTTTATGGTCATGGACTTTGTCCAAGGCGGCGACATGTACGCGCATCTGCGCAAGTTTGGCGCCATGTCGGAGGCCCGCGCGCGCCTCTACATTGCCGAGATTGCGCTGGCGATTTCGCATTTGCATGCGCTGGACATTGTGTACCGCGACCTCAAGCCCGAAAACGTCCGTTCCATTGTTTTCCTAGTCCATGTTTCGATATATCACTATTTGATTAGATCTTGCTGGACGCGGACGGGCACATCAAGATCACGGACTTTGGTCTGTCGCACTTTTTAGACCCGCCTGAGTACGACGAGGAGCGCGACGAGCAGACTCAGGTACACGCATGTTCTATGTTTATGGACTCGAAGCGGAGAGTTGGTTTGATGTAGCATCACTGCGAACGGACCAACTCGCTCTGCCAGGTGACGCACTCGTTCTGCGGCACCGAGTCGTACATGGCGGTACGCTCACCAACCATGGGCTCTGATGGACGCTTGACACTTTAATAGCCGGAGATGCTCTTGCACCTGGGCCATGGCAAGCCCATCGACTGGTGGTGCCTCGGCGTCGTCGCCTGCGAAATGATGACGGGCGTCCATCCGTTCCAAGCCGAGTCGCAAATGCGGCAGCTGCACAACGTCGTCAATGCAGACCCCGTGCTCCCGAGCACCTTGTCACCAGAAGCGACGTCGCTCATCTTTGGCTTGCTGGTCAAGCAGCCCAAGTACCGCCTCGGTGCATATGGCGGGAAATTCGAGAGCATCAAGTCGCACCCGTTCTTTGCCGGGCTCGACTGGGACAAGCTCGCGGCCAAGGAGTATACGATGGAGTACATGCCGCACATTGCCAGCGACGACGACGTGAGCAACTTTCTGGACCACTACACCAAGGAGTCGGTGACGGACAGTTGCGCCAGCACGTTGGAGCACTCGGCGCCGTCGATTGCGTCGGACGCGTCGCAGCTCTCGTCATGGGGTGCCTCCACCGACAGCAGCACAGCCGCGCGCTTCTCGGGCTTCTCGTTCGTCGCTGCCACGACCTGCAACGAGGCTGGGTTTTAGCGATCTTCCCGCGCTTTTTTAATTAACTTAATGGCGTGTCGCGCTCGTCTTGGACAAAGTATATCGTGGCCTTTCTACGACATTCTGCCTCAACTGCAACGCGCTTTACCAAAAACGTCTCACTTTCATCCCTATCCGGACAGTTGGCGGCGGATGATGTGATTGCGTGTGCTCGGCTCGTCATGTTTACGAGTGCGTCGAACGCTCGGGGCTGCAGAGAGGCTGGCGACTTCTTCCACAAACGGTCCCGCGGTTGCTGCGGCACGAGGATCGATGGAACGGGCGTGAGCTGCGCTAAAAAGATTGGCTATTGCTATCAGCTCGGCCTCTGGTGGCGCCAGCTCATAATGGCGCGCCAAGCCCGAATTAAGAAAATTATTTCTTCTGTTGACCGCGTCCGATCTATTGAATAGGTAAGAAGACGCTTCACGACACCGCCTGCATGGACATGGCTATGTATCGTGCATGGCGTGGCGAGGCGCGTGATGCATGCACATCGTCGGTAGCACCATCGTCCGAACGCCACGGCTTCAACGTCAAATTGCTGGCAGCCGGTCGCATCCGGATGGGTGCCCGCGAGACGGTCGTGAGATTACGGACCAGATTCGCTGGCTGTCAGTCGGAACGCGCAGGATTTCCATTTTCGGCTCCACCATCCTCCGCAGCAACATGCCGGTCTCCGAGCCCGAGAGCGTCCTGTACGAGCTGGCGGCGGCGCTGCGCAAGGGCGTCGCCATCCGCACGCGCCGCCAAGGCCTGCGCTCGCACAAACACACCTTTCTTGGCTGCGACGCCGTGACGTGGCTTGTCGAGAACGCGGCTTGTAGTGGCCGCGACGACGCCGTCGAGCTCGGGCGCAACTTGCACCACGCCGGGCTCTTTCGGCCCATCGTGGGCACGGACCCGTTCCAAGACGACAAGAACGCGCTCTACCGCTTCGCCGAAGACGACGTTGGCGACGACGAGTTGAGCGGCAGCAAGTCGGTGAGCGTCAAGCCGTCAGACGGCGTCAAGCCGCTCGTCGAGCGCCTCACGGGCCGCCGCACGTCCGTGCCAACAAAGGGCATCCGGTCGCTTTTGCTCAAGAAGAAGGGCTTCTGCCCCATCGAGTCGCTCCTGACGGTCGCGCCGAGTACGACCTTTGGCTTTGAAGACGGGTGTCCGTTCTTCTTCCCCGCGCACACGGTGCACAACTCGATAGCGCTCACGTTGCCAGTCGTCGAGACGATGAAGAAAGCATTTGCATCCAACGACATGCGCGCGCGTGAGAACGCCGTCTACGGGCTCCGCAAAGAGGTTCTCAAAGCCGCCGACTCGAGCGATAAGAACTGGATGTACATCAAGAACGTCCAGGGCCACCACGGCAACGACGTTCGCGTCTTTTATCGTGATGCGGTCGGCGGCTTCCATACCTTCTTGACGGTCGGCGCGATCCACGTCCCTCCGGCCACGTTTGTCGAGCATTTTCTGGACCACAAGGAGCGCGTCAAGATGGAGGCGTTCTACGAGGCCGGGCAGACGGTCGAGGACCTCCTCATGGCCCACACGCGCGAGATGGAGGTCAAGCACCACATCCATCAGCCGTTTTGGGACGCCAAGGCGCCATGGACACCCGACCAGAGCATGCATTCGATCTCGGGCGACATTGCCGACGTGACAGCGCACCACATGAAGCCCGCGGCAAAGTACCCGCTAATTGCGCCCGGCACGGTCCTCGAGGAACCCACGCCGCAGCAGCTCATTGGCGGCGGCACGCAGCGCATTCTGTACCGCACCATGAGCAGCGTCTCGCGCGTCGTGAGCAAGCGCGACTTTGTGACGTTCCAAGACTCGTTCTCGATGGCCAACGGCGGCCACGTGGTCTACGAGATCTCGGTCCAGCACCGTGACATTCCGGCGTCGCTGCCCGTACGACACCCTTCCCTTTGTGGGAACTCGACATTTCGTATGTAGAACTATACCCGCGGCGAAGTGCTCTGCCTCGCGCACATTGCCGAGCCGATTCCGGACAACCCGACCGCGTGCATGCTCACGGTCGTGACCCAAGTCGGCTTCAAGGGCAAGATGCCCGAGTTTGTCGCCAAGATGATTTTCGACAAGCTCATCACGCGCAGCTTCGAGTCGCAGGCACGCAAGGCAAAGCGTCTCGATCTCACTTTATAGTGTAGATGTGCGACCGGGTCACCGACACCACTGAGATCATGGCGGGTGCGTTCGCCGGCGTGCCGTACCTTTCGGACGACAGCCACACCGACGACTTTGAGAGCCGTGCGACGCTCCTTGACTTTGAAATTCTCGCCGTGCTCGGCCGAGGGTACGTCGTTGGCGTGCGAACAATATCGAGGTATCAACTGCGATTATTTAGCGGGTTTGGCAAGGTGCTGCAAGTCCGGCACCGCAAAACGCAAAAAGTCCATGCGATGAAGGTCCTCAAGAAGGAGAACATCGTCCACGACATTCAAGTACGTCCATTTCTATCAACTAGACTCGTGAGTGATCTTCTTGCTTGTAGGTCGAGCGCACGCGCACGGAGCGCAGCATCCTCGCGGCCGTCGAGCATCCGTTCATCGTCGGTCTCTCGTACGCCTTCCAGGTACCGCCCATCTGTCATCTGTCAATGTGTCAAGCAGTTGATGTAGACGTCCAAGAAGCTCTTTATGGTCATGGACTTTGTCCAAGGCGGCGACATGTACGCGCATCTGCGCAAGTTTGGCGCCATGTCGGAGGCCCGCGCGCGCCTCTACATTGCCGAGATTGCGCTGGCGATTTCGCATTTGCATGCACTGGACATTGTGTACCGCGACCTCAAGCCCGAAAACGTCCGTTCCATTGTTTTCTTAGTCCATGTTTCGATATATCAATATTTGCTTAGATCTTGCTGGACGCGGACGGGCACATCAAGATCACGGACTTTGGTCTGTCGCATTTTCTGGACCCGCCCGAGTACGACGAGGAGCGCGACGAGCAGTCTCTGGTGCGCACGCGATGCACTGCCTGTGCTTACGCTCTACGAATAGCACCAATGCGACCGCAACAACTCGCTCTGCCAAGTGACGCACTCGTTCTGCGGCACCGAGTCGTACATGGCGGTACACACAGCAATTTTGACTCGTAGTGTCTCATGAACACTTGATACTTTGATAGCCGGAGATGCTCCTGCACTTGGGCCATGGCAAGCCCATTGACTGGTGGTGCCTCGGCGTCGTCGCCTGCGAGATGATGACGGGCGTCCATCCGTTCCAAGCCGAGTCGCAGATGCGACAGCTCTTCAACGTCGTCAACGCAGACCCGGTGCTTCCGAGCACCTTGTCACCAGAAGCGACATCGCTCATCTTTGGCTTGCTGGTCAAGCAGCCCAAGTACCGACTCGGTGCCTACGGCGGGAAATTCGAGAGCATCAAGTCGCACCCGTTCTTTGCCGGTCTCGACTGGGACAAGGCAAGACTGCTCGGTACTGATCTTGCAGCAGCGTACTGAGAGCCGTTGTAGGTGGCGGCCAAGGAGTATACGATGGAGTACATGCCGCACATTGCCAGCGACGACGACGTGAGCAACTTTATGGACCAATTCACGCAGGAGACCGTGACTGACAGCACGGCGACGACCTCGTACAACTCTTCGAGCCAGCACAGCAGCAATGCGTCGTCGTGGCACCCGCAGTCATCGACCGAAAAGTCGGGCAGCAACTTTTCGGGCTTTTCGTTTGTGGGCGCAGCGGCCTTTAACGAGTCGGGCTTCTAATATCGCTGCCTACGTGCTCTTCTTGGTCTTATTTTTGCTGCTGCTGGCTGCGGGTGGCGACCGCTTGCGCTTCGGCGGTGCTTCGGATGCCGTCGCCTCGAGCCAGAGCGCCTCCTGCAGCGCCTGCGGCGTCCACGCGCCGCCGAGGACCGTCGCCCGCGCCCGCAACGCCTCGGTGAACCGCACGAAATGAGGCAGCGTGTACTGGCGCGCGCCAATGGCCTCTACACTACGGTTACCACACACGATGCATTATTGCGACACGTACTGGTCATTGCGTTGAGGGCTTCGTCGCCCATGAACGCGATGGATCGAGAGTAGGCAGCGAGCACGGCAGAGGCAGTCGCGGGCCCGACCTAACGTGCACGATAGCACCGCGGTACAGTTTGAACTGTCGTACGCCTTTGAGTTCGGAGATGGCGGCCGCTGCCTCCTTGAGGTTGCCGTCGTCCACAGCCGCAAAGCCATTCTTGGACGCCGCCTGGACCTCAGCGTCGCCAAGCGCGTCGACAAAGGCCTGCAAGCGAGGTCGCCTGTGACGCATGAGGTCTTGGCTTGGATCTAGACTTTATTGGCGTAATACCATTTGCCTTTGGCGAGCTTCCACTGCATGAGCTTGGAGAGCTGGGCCTGTGTGATGTGGCCTTGGGTGCGCAGAAGCATAGGCAGCTCGGCGTGGTACCATGCCTCCAGCGACCGCAACGGCTCCTACGCACATAGGCTCTCAAGCTGGAGGTTGATGGACGCAGGTCGTACCTCGAGGCTTGCAGCGACGCTGTCGTACGTTGCATGGATCGCGGCCCAGTCGGCCTCGTCCGTGGACGCCCAGAGCTTGCTCATCGTTCGTTCCGGATGCAATCGATTGTATCCGGCGCCCTCATATTCCTGCTGGTATCGGTTTATTGCCCATTTGCGCCTGCGCTCTTCAATGCTTACTCCGTAGTCCTTGACACTAGTTCTCTTCGGAGCCCTTTCTCCTACATCGACCGTGCCCAGCCATCGCAGAGACGATCTGCACAGCGACTCAGCCGTCCTGACAGGATCGCGCTGTAGCATGCACGTGACCGCCGAGGTGCAAAACGTGGCGGCGCCACAGACAAGCGCACTCCACGGTGAAACCGTTGCACCCGTTCAAGTGCGCCTATCTAATTGCATACATTGCCTCATATACTCTCGAAAGTACGATCGCACTTTCTGGAAATTCTGGAATTGTCTGGCAGCGCCACGCAAGGGCAACGGGACGAACGAGCATTTCAGAATTTCCGCTCACCAGATCACATGAGCCTCAATCCCAGCGAATTCACAGACAAGACCAACGCGTACCTCAAGGACGCCGAGGCGTACGCGGAAGAGCACGGCCACGCCCAAGTCACGCCCATGCACGTCGCGTACGCCCTCTTCAACGACAACGAGAGCCTCGCCCGGCGCGTGGCCGAGAAGGCGCAGGCCGACGCCACGGCGATCCTCAACGATATTACGGCGCATCTCCGGAAGCTCCCGATACAGTCGCCGGCGCCCGATAACATTAGCATCGACTCGGCACTGACCAAGGTCCTCAAGGCCGCCGTCAAGCAGCGCAAGGACAAGGGCGACACACACATGGCAGTCGACCACCTCTTGCTCGCGCTCTTTACGTGCCCGACGGTCGCAGCGCTTTTCCAGCGCCACAAGCTCAGCCAGAGCCAAGTCGGCGCGATCAACGACAGCATTCGCGGCGGCCGACCCGTCACGAGCAACACGGCCGAGGGCAACTACGAGGCGCTCGCCAAGTACGGGCAGAACCTCGTGGCGTTGGCGGCCGCGGGCAAGATCGACCCCGTGATTGGCCGCGACGAGGAGATTCGCCGCGCCGTGCGCATTCTTTGCCGGCGCACCAAGAACAACCCGGTGCTCATTGGCGAGCCCGGCGTCGGCAAGACGGCCATCGTCGAAGGCCTCGCCCACCGCATCGTGAGCGGCGACGTCCCGGACCTCTTGGCGTCGTGCCAGATCCACTCGCTCGACATGGGCGCGCTCATCGCCGGGGCCAAGTACCGCGGTGAGTTTGAAGAGCGCCTCAAAGCAGTGCTCCAGGAAGTGCAGGCGAGCGACGGCAAGGTCATTTTGTTTATCGACGAGATGCACTTGATTTTGGGCGCGGGCGCGACCGGCGGTGCCATGGATGCGGCCAATTTGCTCAAGCCGCTGCTCGCGCGCGGCGAGCTGCGCTGCATTGGTGCCACGACGCTGGAAGAGTATCGCAAGTACGTGGAGAAGGACAAGGCGTTTGAGCGGCGCTTCCAGCAGGTGCTCGTCACGGAGCCGTCGGTGCCCGAGACGGTCAGCATCCTCCGCGGTCTCAAGGCGCGTTACGAGTCGCACCACGGCGTGCGCATCACGGACGGCGCGCTCGTCGCGGCGGCCACGCTCGCGGACCGGTACATTACCCAGCGCTTTATGCCCGACAAGGCCATCGACTGCATCGACGAGGCGTGCGCCAACGTGCGCGTGCAGCTCGACTCGCAGCCCGAGGTCATCGACGCGCTCGAGCGCAAGCAGCTCCAGCTGCAGATTGAAGCCACGGCGCTCGCCAAGGAGAAGGACACGCGCTCGAAAGATCGTCTTTTGCTCGTGCGCCAGGAGCTGGCAGCCGTCCACGACGAGCTGCACCCGCTCAAGCTGCAGCACCAAGCCGAGAAGGCCAAGGTCGAGGAGATTCGTCGCCTCAAGGACAAGCTCGCGCAGCTCGAGCTCAAGGTCGCCCAGGCCGAGCGCCGCCAGGACCTCGCGCAAGTGGCCGACCTCAAATACTATGCGATGCCCGACGTGCTAAAGTCGATCCAGCGACTCGAGGCGGAGAAGGCGGCGCAGGACGCCGACCCGGCGTTTAGCAGCAACAAGCTCGTGGAGGAGGTGGTTCGCGAAGCCCAGATTGCGCAGGTCGTTTCGCGCTGGACCGGCATCCCGCTCGAGAAGCTCAGCACTAGCACCAGCGACCGCCTCTTGCACCTCGGCGCGCGGCTGCACGAGCGCGTGATTGGCCAAGACGCTGCTGTCCAAGCGGTGTGCGATGCAGTGCTACGGTCGCGCGCGGGCCTGGCGCGTCAGGACCAGCCGACAGGCTCCTTTCTCTTCCTCGGACCCACGGGCGTCGGCAAGACGGAGCTCGCCAAGGCGCTCGCCCTCCAGCTCTTTGACTCGGAGAAGCACATGGTGCGCATCGACATGTCGGAGTTTATGGAAGAGCACTCGGTCTCGAAGCTTCTTGGCGCGCCGCCGGGCTACGTGGGCTACGACGACCAGGGCGGCCAGCTCACAGAGCCCGTCCGGCGCAACCCGTACAACGTTGTGCTATTGGACGAGATTGAGAAGGCGCACCCCAAGGTTCTCAACGTGCTCTTGCAGCTGCTGGACGACGGCCGTCTCACCGACTCGCACGGGCGCACGGTCGACTTTACCAACGTTGTCGTCGTTCTCACCTCGAACGTTGGCGCCGAGCACCTCTTGCCGTCGCCCGTCCAGAGCCCGTCCAAGCGCCCGCGCCTCGACACGACCGCAGTATCCCTCGACGCACAAAAGGCCCGCGTGCTGGCCGACTTGCGCCGGTACCTGCGTCCCGAGCTGCTCAACCGCCTCGATGACGTCATTGTGTTTGAGCCACTGGGCAAGGCACAGCTGCGCGATATCGTGCAGCTGCAACTGCGCTCGGCCGAGACACGGCTCCAGGACGCGCACCAAGTGTCGATGGACGTGACGACGGCCGCGCTCGACGCCATCTTGGACGTTGCATACGACCCGCAGTACGGCGCCCGCCCGCTCAAGCGCTACATTGAAAAGCACGTGGTGACGGCGCTGAGTCGGCGGCTCTTGGACGGCTCACTGCGCGCCAAGGGCCACGTGACCTTGTCGGCCACCGATGGCGCGCTCACGTTTGAGATTGACAACCCCGACGTCAACATGGCTCCGTAAACCCGATCCTCGACGACCGCCCTTGGATCTGCGTTTCTCAACAATTTATATGAACATGTGTTTGACGCTTGTATGAATATACGAATGAAGAAATTGTCTGATTGTACATTACGTAAGAATGAGCAACTCGAATGTCATCTTTTGCCACAGGAACGTCGACGTCGGAAGTCCCCTACACCTACCCTTGCCCTGGAGCGAAATCGGCATTTTGGCCAATCGCATGCGAGATGACAGATCGCAAATCGCAGCATGTACGGCGCCATCCAAGCCGACGAGGTCCGTCCGAGCAGCGCGCGGCAGGCCAGCACGCGGTCGCTTGTGGCCGCGACCCTCGCTATCTGCGTCACGACCCTCGTATGTGTCGTGTACCTCGTCACCGAAGCGCAGACGATCTTGCACGAGCTCCGGCTGGTGACAGTCCCTACCTCCTCGCTACACGCGGTGGCGCCGCCAGGAGCAGCGCTGACGCCGCGCACGAGCCTCAGCCGCGACTTTGGCGCACAAACCAATGGGACGCGTGTCTTGATTGTCCACGCGGGCGACGACTGGCTCGCTCAGTTTGGCCAAGAGGTGGCACGCGGCGCCGCCAGCGTCACGACCGCCGTCAGAGTGCTGCACCCTGCCAACGCGTCCATCTCGGATGTGCTCTGGGCCGACGCCGTGATCCTCGGGAGCAACGTCTACAACGCCAACGTGGACCCCGAGCTCATGGCGTGGATCAACGGATGGCCGACCACGCACGACCTGAGCGCCAAGGTCGCCGGCGCCTTTGCATTGGCCGGCGGTATGAGCTCGGCGAGGAGCTCGTGCTGCTCAACCTCCTCCACTCGCTCATGATCTTTCGATTTGTCGTCGTCGGTGGCGATGCGTGGACAAGGTACTTTCTCTCTCGTGGGTTGCTTGCGTGTCTAATGAAGTCTATGCGCAGTGCATTTGGCGCATCGGCCATCATGGGCGAAGGCCCCTTTCACCTCGGCACCAACGACAGCAGCCACCGACCGGGTGCGTGGCCGTCGATCTGCTATCGCCACGACAACCACATCCCCGCGTACTTTCTCTTGAAAGCCCACGGTCTCGGTCAGCGCGTCGCCAACGTCGCCACCAAGCTACGGGCGCCACGCGATGCATGAGAGGCCAATCGCGTCTGCGTGGCGAATCGAAATACGTACTGAGTCGAACATGTCGCCTTGAGCTATAGTCCCAGCAGCTACAAACGCCACCCCGGCGCCAATCTTGCAAAACGCAACCTCTCCTCACCAAACTCGGCCAACGCAGGCATCATCAAAAGAAACTCTGGTGAGGTAGTCTACGCGTACCTTGAGCAGTCGT